AGTTAATAAGCTGAGATTTGCTGTAGCCTTAGCAGGAGCCCAAGAACCTGTCACTTGGAAGGAAAAGGAAAGGCCCTTGCTTTGATCTCTAAGTATTGTTAGTTCTTTCCATTATTTTCATTCCCACATCCCCCTCCTGAAAAAAAAAGAAAACAGAATGCTATGGTGGGTGAGTGAGGAGCAAAGCTTTGGGTCTAGGCTGAGAAATATCTTTTTTTAAACTAGCTGAATCATTTTTCCTCTGAAAGCAAAAAAAAAACACCTGTATTTTTAGACTTCCTTTTAACTCCCTAGAACTAATATCATCACGGTGGCAGATTGTGTATCTATTAACACACAAGCCACATGTCACTAATACAACTAGATCCATGTTACTTTACTGTTCCAGGAAGCAGGAGGTCAGAGCTTTGTGTTTTCCTGGATTAAAAATGTAGCCCTGATTCCCCATGATAGCAGACACTATCAGAAGGATTCTGCATGCACTTCCCCAAACTGAGTAAACAGTTTGAAGATAAGCAGCTTTTTGACTATTAAATGTAGCAGGCATTTGGCTGACACAGCTTTGTGTTGACAGATGCCTTTGTGTCTCTTTGTGATGGAGAGAAGACAGATGTTCTCCTTGGCATTTAAGAAAGCTGCTGCTTAGCAAAATAAAAAGTAAAATTAGACCAAGGAGTGAGCAGTGTAACTGGTTGGCCTGTAAGCAAGAAAAGATTGAAAGAGTCTCGTGTGACTGCAGTGGAGTGTGCTCCTGCTGGAAGTCAGTAACTGCTTTGTCATTATGTGAAATTAGTCTATGGAAACAGAAACTCTGTATTTCCAGCTCTGTTACGATATAAGTGCATGCCAGGGTGAGTAACCTGTATGAGGAATCCCATGCTGACCATTCTCAGCAGAGCCATGTCCCTGGTTAGCAATGCTGAAGTGATACAGCAATTAGCAGCTCTAACCCCCCAAGTTTGCACATTCATGTGTGATGGATTTGGCTCCAGTTTGTGTACAAAGGAAAATTATTATGAGAGTTTGCTATTCCATGCTCCTTAGGGATGGATGGTGCTGTCAGATGGGGATGGAGTCTGCCTCCAGCAGGACACTGCCCACTCTGAGCAGCAGAGGAAGGAGCAGCTCAGGAGGAGCCTGTGCTGGTGATGGTCTGGTGTTCAGCACCAGCTCCTCTGCATCTCTCCATGGGGTGTGTGTGCTGGTGTCCTGCACTGTGCATACCTGGAGAGCTCTCAGTGCAGCATCTGGTTCCCCTGGTGAATGCCAGCATGCTGGGCCAGTGGAGCTGTCTCTTTTTAGTCAGTATTAACTGGTGTGGAAGTTCCTGAGGAGCTGAGGAGCTCTCCCTCATGCACCTCCAGTGTGGTTGCCTTGTGTATGTGATGGGAGAGCACCAAGGGAACACAGGAGAGCTTTGAAGAACAGAGCAGCTGCTGTGGAGCTGTATGTGACTGCAGCTTAAAAATAAGCAATTAAATTCTCTACCGTAGCTGTCTTATACCCAAGACATGCACTTGAGATATCCACAGCGAGGGGCAGAATATTCCCATTGAAGGAGAGGTTAAAAATTATTAAATTGGTATAGTTTCTGTCATGAGCCCTGCAGGGATAAAATGTGCTTGGTGTTACACACCATGTAATCTAGCTGTGGAATAACTGCCTGCTAAGGGAAGAGAGCTGGAGGCCCAGTGTGTCTGTGCCCATGCCACAGAGCTCCTGCACATCAGGAAGATGTGAGGTGGTTTCTTGTTATCCTCAGGAAGGATCTAAAGATAGTGTGAGTGTCCCTCTCAGCCAAGCCTAAGTGTGCAAGCTCTGCTGAGTGCAGCTCTTGCAGAAACAGCATTGAAAATAGCTCTGATGTGTCTTGCCAGGGTATCACATTAAGCAACATGAGGCACTGGCACGATGTTTGGATACTGGAGAAGTTTTCATTCACGGGGCCACGGGTTGTCTCTTCCGCAGAGCCGCGAGTTTACGCAGTGGGAGCAGTGAGTGCTCCAACACTGCACAGAAGAGTCTGAGCAAGATTCAACCACACTTTCACATCTCTGCTGGCTGATCCATCCTCCCTGGAACAGCTGGATTTGTTCCCACCCCCAGCAGTGCCCTCACCCCCGGGAGCATTGTGCCCTGCTGCAGTGTTCAGCTGCAGCTTGGGGAGCAGCTCCTGCCCTGGTCCCTGATGAGCAGCTGGTTACGACTGCGAGTTCTGTGCGTGTGCCAGCTGGGAGGGCGGAGGGTTGGGATGCCCTGGGAGTGGTGGAGCTGCTCTAGGAGCTGCTGCAGCAGTTCCCTGCTGAGCTCTCTGCAGTTGTGGCAGGAATCCCTGTGGCTGACTCCAGTGTGCCTGCAGCCAGCACAGACCCTGGTGGGATCAAATCTGAGCCTGGTACCAGCTACAAACTCCCTTTGCTGCTCCGTGTGGTTTCAAAGGACAGAAACATTGTGTGAGGTCCCTTCAGCCTGCCTGGGCAAGCAGTCTGTGGCTAGGTCCAGTGGTCAGTGAGGACACAGCACTTGTACTGATACACAACTCTGCTGCTGTTCCACTGCTGGGGCAAACCAGCACTGGCCATCTCATGGCCTCTGCATGGATTTGTGTGCAAAGCTAGTTTTCACACCCAAGCCAGCTTGAAATGCATGGAAACTGCATTCAGGAGAGGGCACTCACTGAACTATGCAGAAAGATGCCAACTCTATCCCAAGGATGTTTGTGAATTCAAGTCTGTTTTCTAAATTGAAAATTCTGGTTAGAATTGAATTAGCAAAGATAATGTGTGTAGGGGTGAGATTACAAAGGCACAGCTGCAGTTTGCCTGTGGTTTAGCTCACTAAAAAAGATAAGCCATTACTGATACTGTGGGACTGAATGATGTGTGTGTGTGTGCTGGTTTCTCCAGTCCATGGTGTCATCCTCCTGTGCAAAGCTGCTGCTTTGTGCTAATTAGAAAAATCTAAAGGTAGAAAAATAATTCCTGTGTTTTTCCTTTAGCATGTAGAAAATGGAACACACTGTAAGTTACTGACCTGAAAGACAGCGATGCCCCTTGGCCTGTCTTGTGGAGCCCCAGAACATTGCCGCAGGGATGACTTTTCCTGAAAGGAAAGCAGCTCCCTCCGAGCACAGACCACGAGGCTTGTGGGGTGTGTTGTCCTTGGCCTCCCTCCCACACCCTTACAGCATGGATTTAGGCCTCTTTCCACAGGTATTTAGAGAGGGATGTGTTTCAGATGTGTTAAACAAGTCCTTCTGGATGTGTCCTGGTGGAATCTCCCACAGCCCAGCCAGTGATGCTGACAGTGTCCAGCCATGCCAGGCCTGCTGTGTTTGCAAACCTCTTAGGCCCTGCTGATACAACAGGAACTTTGTGCCTCCTTAGTTTTAGGGGCTCCTTTTCTCATTTTGGAGACCCCTCCAGTGCATTTGGTGTGGAAAGCCCTCTCAGGCTCCTGCCTGGTTCACTGAGCTTTCACAAACTCAGGTCATAGAACACTTGTTAAGGATTCAGTGTCTCCAGTGACTGAATGAATGATCTGCCCTTGCTGCTCACCCAGAGCAGAAGACAGTGGGTGCTGACATTTGACATGCAGCTCCTCCAGGGGGTAACTCCTGTTCACTAGGGAAGACTTGAAGAAGCTAAGGGACAAATGAAATGGAAGAAAATTGAGACATTGGTCTTTCCATGAACAGTGCAGGAATGTGGGACCATCTGGTGCTTTCCAAACCAGTCACTGTGCAGGAGCAGCTGCTGGTGAGCTCCTCTAGGCACAGCTCCCTGCAGGGAGAGCAGCACAGGGCCAGAACCCAGGGGGGTCCACCTGAGGCCACCAGGCTTTCTGGCCACCTCTGCTGGGGCAGCAGCAGGTTCTACTTGTTGCTCTAAAGATAGTTTCTTGACAAGCTACTCCTGAACTTGTAGGAAAACCTCAGCCCCTGCAGTGGGTCCTGGAGGATGTGGGAGTCCTCAGAAAGAAACCAGGACAGGCCCAGAGGTTTGTTTCTGCTTCCAGCACACAAAGCACAGAAAGCAACTTCCTCTCTTAGCAGGCAATACAGAGGCATAGGAACACACCTGTGAATTAAGAGCACTTTATTGTTCTTTAAGGCTACTTTTAAGTACAAAAAAAAAAGATGGCCTGCCAAACCTTTTTTTTTTCTTCCAGGTGAAACAAGGCCACAAAAGAATGGTATATTACAGATTTACAAACACAGAGTGAATCTTTCAAACTGAACTGTAGATAACCTGGCTCTGTGAAGAAACTTCACCACGTCTCGTGATGGTGAATTCAGTTTAGTGTCCTTCCACCTCCCCCCAACCCTTTGGCTTTTGTGACATTGTTGTGTCCAATATCTGTTTTACTGGACATAGCACATTAAATCTTTATTGCCCTCAAATCCATTTACCTATCTCAGATAAGTAAATGTAACCTTGTAAAACAGCTATTATTGAAAATATTAGCTTTAAAAACATTATCTTATTTGTGTTTACAAAGAAATATAGGAGTCACATTTTCCACAGAGTCCATCTACAGTATTAGTATTGACTGTTATACTGCTCAGTAGCCTGTAGCAATATCAAACGAGTGGCTATTAATGCTAATGCAGTGTCCTCATAGAATAACTGTGTTCCTGCACTTTTACTGTATTACAGACAAATCTACAACAAAAAAAAAAGATCAACTTTTTTCTCCAAACAAAAAAAAAAAAATAATGAATGATTACAATAAAGGAAAGGGAAAAATTAAATAGCTACATATCATTAACAAATTAATTGTTCCTCAAAAAATACCTACAAATTTCTCTGTACATTCTTTACGCACAGCGTAACGATGGTCTTAAAGTTACCTATATAAAAAAGTGTTCTTTAAACAATCTGCCTACAGAGAGTAGGGTACTGAATGCCAAAGCAAGGAAGCGTTGACTACCCAGTAAGATGGTAGTGAAATGTGTAAAACTGGGGGCTTAGGTGTTGGGTGGGGTTTTTTTTTTTTCCTTTTTTAGAGAAAACTGAGCAGCCACCTTCTCACCAAGAGTAAGAGCCAATCTCCCGATCTCTTTCTACCCTGCACCTTGTCCAAATTAAATAGCTTAACTTTAACAACAACAAAAAAAAAGCATAAAATAAAAGCCACAATGGACCCAATACTGTAACATAGTCCATAATACATCACGTGTAGTTCATCTTCCAACTAGTTCTCACTTTCTACACTGACCCAATGGTTTCAGGTAACCCAGTGTAAAAAAGAAGTTCTAGTTGCAACTGTCCTGGGGAGATGGAATGTATGGGGGAGAGTAGTTACACTTAACAAGAAGAGAAGCTCTTAGCACTAGCACAGCTGTGGGTTTACGCCGGCCTCTACTGCCTAAGTTCTAGTTAGTAGCTATTAATATAGCAAATGATAATAAATGCAGTAATACCTGTATAAAGTCTCTACTGGAGGAATGTATGCTGCAACTTGGCATAGGTTGATGAATAGGCTTAAAAAAATGAAGGCTGATATTTCACAAACAATCTGTTGTCCAGCCAAGATCCGTAACGGCAGCAGTTTCTGCAGCTAGTTCGGGGTGGATTCCACAGAGTGGGGTTTGGGAAGCAGAGTCCTGTGGAGCAGCAGTGCTGCAGACACAAACGGCCGTCGGTCCTGCGCGGAGCTCTGTGCCAGCTCCAGCCACCTGCCCACGGGGCCTGGCCCGAGGCTGCTACCAAAGGGAGTATCAAATACAAATATCATAGAGTACAACTGTACCAGCAGTAAGTATATCTAGGATTGTTACTGACAAAAATAAACTAATTCTGAAGAAAAGCTAATAAGTATTATGATTCTTACTGTCTATACATTAATAGATACCAGCTATTTCTCATAAAACATGCATCGTTAAGCACTATGGAACCCTCCAACCTCAGCTCTAGTCTAACAAACTGCAGTGTTTAGGAAAAAATGCCCGTGTTCTGTAAATTATGCAGTCCAGTTGCAAGCACTAAGCACCTGAAATCTAAAGAGAGAAAGACCTATAACCGGTATGAGACTTCCCCTTCCAAAGCTGTTTTGCTTTAAGAAAAATCAAACTGATAGAAATGTCATCCTTAAACCCTTTTTTCAGCAGTTTGCCCTCAAAATATTAGCCTCTTCCAGAAAGTTGCTGTGCAACTTCAGTCCTCCTCCAATAGTGCAAATCATACATGACAGTTCTTTTCAAGTATATACATACAAAATTACTTCACAGAGGGAAAAAAAATAAAAGCAATGTAAGCAAACCAGACAAATTCTAGTCTCGGGAAGCTAAGAGAAGCAAAAAGCACTTGGGTCAACCAACTAAGTGTAATGGCTTTTGTGAATTAGCGTGCATTACATTTTTAAGGGGCAGCAGATTTGCATCAGAGGTTTCTTTGGTAATTGAGGCAGGAAAAAAAGGATGCTACATCATATGAATCTGTATGAAATAGTTCCTGCTATCATCTTTAAGGGCACCCTTTTACAAAAAAAAAGTGAGTACACAAAAACACGTGTTGAAAACTAACCTCCCCTCCCCCAACACTATTTAAGCACTGTTCAAAGCTCAGTCAAACCATGCAAATTCACAAAGGGAAGGGTCCTCTCCTCAGGAGACCACGGAGGGCGAGTGATTATGATTGACCATGTGGGAGGAAGGGGACGACTGGCCCCGCCGCGACGCCGACTCAGGGCTGCTGGCCACGCCGTCCTTGGCAGCTTTGATCTGCAGCCATGTATCCCCCAGTGCTTTGGCAAAGTGGTCATCCACAGACCCTGTGATGGACACGGAGTTTGCCACTGGCTCAGGCTCCTTGTAATTCTTGCCAAGGCTGCGGCGGAAGTGCTCTTCCACCACCGGGTCACACGCAGTGGTGGCTGCAGGGAGAGGAGGCACAGGATGTGTTAGACCTCTGGCACCAGTGCTGGATTCACAGCCTGCATGTTCTCCTGCTTTCCTGTCACACAATCATAGAATCCCAGACTGGTTTGGGTTGGAAGGACCTTAAAGCTCATCTCATTCCAACCCCTCCATGGGCAGGGACACCTTCCACTAGCCCAGGTTGCTCCAAGCCCCATCCAACCTGGCCTGGATCACTTCCAGGGATGGGGCAACCACAGATTTTCTGGGCAACCTGTGGGCAGTGCCTCAGCACCCTCACAGGGAAGGATTTCGTCTCAATATCTAATCTAAATGTGCCCTCCTCATCTTACAGCCGTTCCCCCTTGTCCTGTCACTACAAGCCCTCACACCACTAGAAGACTGTTAGTGAACGGGGAGGGGAAGAAGATGGAAGGAGTTAGTTAAAATGAAAACAGTAAAATTGGAGTGAAGTATTTTTGCATTTCTGTGACCTGCAACAGGTAAGCATTTTATATATAATTATAGTTCTTCCTCAGGCTACAGCTCTGACTCTATGGAAACTCTCTCCCAAAACAATGACACAGAACTTAAACAGAATTAAAGAAGTAAACAGCTCTTTAAAAATCAGCTCCCAAGCCTGCTGATAGCAGCCAGGTGTGAGGAGACCTCACTCTAAATTGCAGCCTGCCAAGAGCTGACCTCAGGGTTTCCTCTTACTTCACACACTTGTGCTGGGAGCCAGTCAGAAAACTGAACGACTCATTACCTCTGCTACAAGCATTCAAGTGGTGTAATAGCATTACAAGAGGAACAGAGAACCTGAAAAGAGATTTTTGAACAATAATAGTAGTAGTAATTCTTCAGACTAAATATGAGAGAGCTGCAGTTTTACAATTTAGAAACAATATCTGTGTGTCTAAATGACAAGTATCATTCAGGAAACGCTTGGAACTGTTGGGATCCAACTGGCTGATCCTAAAATAAACCTGAGTGTCATGCACAAACACCTCTTCACCTGACAGGAGACAAATGTTTTCTGGAAACATTTACCCCTGTTCCCAAGCCCATGTAGTCAGGGTCTCACTGGAGCTCTGCTGAGACCAGGAACACCAGTTTGAGAGAAAACCTGTTGCATCTGAGATCCCAAACAACTGATTTCTCCAGAAGTCTGTGGGTCTTGCTTCAGCTTCTAATTCTAGTTATCAACAATACACTGATCTTTCTAAAATAAAAATAATAACCTTACTATGAACTTCTAGGTTCCTGCCTACACCACACTGGTGTGTTCTGTGCACACATCCTGGTTGACAAAGCCTCACTGCCATGAGCTTCCCAATGCTGCGTGTTAGAGCTCTGCCTCGGCAGGTAAAGGGCTTGAAGTGAAAGGGCTGTGCTTCCCCTGTGCTTTCTCACTCTGCAGTGAGAGAGAGTGAGCAGAAACAGCCCCAGGTTTCCCAGCAAGTACTGCCTGAACAGATTTCATGAAAAATCCTAATTGCACAGAAGGCAGAAAGCTAAAGCTCCCTGCTTGGGTTGCTGTAGCAACTGCCCTCCAAAGCTTTTTGTGTTATCCATGTGGAGCAGGGTGGAGGGTATGTGCTTTGGAAGAGTATTTGTAGCTGCAGGAAAGATTTTTGGGACTGCAGCTGAATCATAAGAGTCTCCTGACTATTGAAAGACTGGGGAAAGTGCAGCTCCTAAAATAAGAGCATGGTCAGATCTGCTGGCCCTGGTCCTGTTTGTCAGTTGGACTAAAATAAACATAATGACTTATTTGTCTGTGTGGGCTGTTTGTTTTTTTTCAAGAAGCTTTTCAAAACAAGAAGAAAGAACACCTCTCTCCCCCTAATTATGAATTGGTACTTTCTCCAGTGGCACAGGATTGATGGTTGGACAGTGCTGGCATGTCTCTGGGGAGCAGGGAGACAAAGAGGTGTCCGTTTTTTCACCTCCTTTTATTCCTGTTAATACATCAGTGCCTGCACAGTTAAGGTTGGTGAGACCATTCTGTTCCCCTGGAATTCTAATGAGGCTGTTAGGAGTTTGGCCATGTAACTTACTGCTGGAGGGTCTCCTGTAGGCAGGCCCCGAGCCACAGCCGCTGTGGGCGATGGGGCAGTGGGAGAGGTTGCAGTTCCGGTTGTTCGCAGAAGCACAGGTGATGACTGAGGGTCGGTTCTGGGGGCAGAGAGCAGAGCTGTCACTCACTAAGGCAAGCAGCCACAGCCAGAGCAGCAGCAATTAAACCCATAAACGAACCAATTCAATAAAACAAATTAAACCCCCAGATATTCACCTATTATTTCTTTGTTTAAAAAAAAAAAGCACATTGCGTTTCCGTAAGGGTCCTTGTTACGAAGTGGCAGCCACACAGAAAAGGGGCAGTGTGAGGGCATGACAAGCATTAATGTGATTTGACAGCAACTGGTTCAGCTTCACAGACATTACATATGCAGCACTAAATGTCACCACACAAAATGCTGGTTTCATTCTGTGGCCACACATCAGTGTCGTTCCGAGACTCAGAGAGGCTTTACAGGTAATTTGTTGTCTTGGTGGTGCTCCAGTTTTACTGTCACCATTTTTCACTCAGAAGTTGAGGTTTCCTAGCCCTGATTCTGCACTCCACACTGCTGCTGTGGAACAGTAAGGCCATAAGGTGTACAGCATGAAGAGCTTCTGAGCCAGTCTTGACTCCAGGTACTTTCCTGTAGTAATTAATCTGCCTTTCCAGCATTACTTAATCAACATCCTCCTTTCTCAGTCTCAACACAGGCAAATTCCCCAAAATGTCTGTTCACATCTATGTTACATCATCATAACTCTGCCTGCTGTGCTTGGGACAAAGTGTAAACATAAAATACTCTTTTCATAGTTGTTTACTATATAAATGTTGCATGGAAAGTAAACATAAAATACTCTTTTCATACTTGTTTACTATATAAATGTTGCATGGAAACAAGACCTTAGGAAAAGAAACATCCCAGTTTCTCCAAGTAGTGAAAGCAAATAACACAGGTATTGAAACAGATTTGCTTTCCATCTTTGGCATTTTATGATGCAAGAAGTCCACGATGCTCAATAATTGTTAATGTTCAAGAGATTTAGAGAATCTATGTGATTTCATATCTTGTCCATTTCACTAATCTGTGCAGCAAACTCACCATACCCACTGAGTTACCCACCCCCTCACAAGGGCAGTGGGGAAGGAGGGAGTGTTCCTTGTTTGGTGGTACTTTAGGCAGAGGCAGAGCAAGAGCAAAGTAAAAGAGGTTTAACACCATCTGCCAGGTCCCAGTGTGAATGAGGCTATGTACATCTTCCTGCACTGACAGCAAAGTGGGGAAAAAAAAGTAAATAAAGAAAAAAAAAAGAGAATTCTTTTTCTGTAAGCAGTTCACATGTGGAAGTATTTATTTTCTTTTTTTGTAGGGGCCAAGAGTTTGTGCCTCTGAAGCAGTTTTTGAGGTGAGTATATATGCCAATCTCTTCAGAGGAGTATTCTAGACATGCAAGAGGTGGGAACTAGAGAGAGGGAATAAAAGAGCTTGTCTCAGGAATGCATATGCCAACACCACAGAGGATCTGAGAGGCAGGATAAGGCATCTTAGAGAACCCCTGCTATGGCTGTGTGTGTGTGTGTGCAGATGCACTAAGCAGAGCACAGACACTTATAGGAAAATAACGAGATAAGCTGAGAATTTAGTCACAGTGACTACAGCAGCTGAATAACCCTGCCCTGCCAAAAATAAGAAGATATTTTTCCCCACCTGTTCATTAGAAACAGAGTAAGATGAAATCCCATTCAACATGTTAAGAAAAAGAAAAACCATCAAACTAGGGTTTTATTTTTCCAGTGCACTTTTTCTTTTGTATGATTTCTGCTTTGTGCTCTTAGCAACATCTTACCTCAACATCCTATTTGGCCCAAAAAAATGATTGTAATCTAATTCAGAACGTCAAAGATAACAGAAGAGAGGAATCCAGTTGTGGGCAGCAGGAATCAGCCCAACAGAGAGTGTCAGTGGTGTGGCTGCTGAGCTCAGATGCAGCAGTAACACTCTCAAAGGGCACCGGTGTCATCACTGCAGCCTGTCCCTTCCTGCTCTGTCAGCACCCAGCGCCGAGAGCAAACAGCAACCTGCACTCCACAGACTGCAAGCTGCTGCCAAGGGATGGGAGACAGCAGCAGCACCAGTGCAAAATCAGGGGGTGTGGGCATCAGTGGTGTGGCTGCTGAGCTCAGATGCAGCAGTAACACTCTCAAAGGGCACCGGTGTCATCACTGCAGCCTGTCCCTTCCTGCTCTGTCAGCACCCAGCGCCGAGAGCAAACAGCAACCTGCACTCCACAGACTGCAAGCTGCTGCCAAGGGATGGGAGACAGCAGCAGCACCAGTGCAAAATCAGGGGGTGTGGGCATAGCAAAGTGTAAGGGACCCACATGCACAGCAGCTCAATGGAAATGGACACAGCAGATAGGAAGGGAAGCAGGAAAGAAGGAAGGAAGGCAAGAAAGAAGTACGGATGGACTTGGGCACATGGGCCAGTTTAATTTCTCAGTGCTGCAGCTCATCACAACTCAGTTCTCTTGCTTTGACTCTCCACTTGTAAGAGGGATAAAAGTGAGTCTGACACATAAGAAAACTGTTCTTGTATAACCTGCATAGAGATGATTCATCTTCAGCACTTCTGAAGCAAAACCAATGCAATGTACAAGAAGGCAAGCCAAAAAACAACCAACAACAAAAAAAAAATCCCCAACAACCACTCCAGGATACAAAAATAACATATAAAATAATAAAAAGTAATTACCTGGCTTTAAGAAAAGCCATTATGCATTAGTGAGACAACATTGCTCTGAACGACACAGTGAATGCTTTTGGCTGGCTAAAACAACTCAGATCATTCCAGCTTCTTTCACCTGGAACATTCAGTGCAAAACTTTCCCTGACACCCTTTCTGTCTTGCACCCCTTCTCCAGCAGTGCCAGCAGGAGAGAGCCAGGACAGAGGGGAGGGGAGCACACATGGGTCACCAAGAGGGGCACAGATGATACTCTCCCTCTACCTGCAAATTGCACCAGTCATTGCCTAGCAGGTACTGGAGCTTTGCTCAGCCACACACTTTCCCAATGGAAACACATGCATTCCCAAGCTTAGCAAGCATCAGGGAAAACAGAAAGTCCGAGAAATCTGTGATGGATACATTTAACCATTAGGGATACATTCACATGAAACACAATGAGCTGTGGCATTCAGTGTGTGTTGTTAAAATACATTTTGCCTGAGGAATAGTATCTTCTACCTACTGTAACTCACACTATGTCCTGCTTACACCTGGGAGCTCTCAGTGTGCCCAGGCCGTGTCCCTGCCCAGCCCATACCTGCTGCCGTTCCACGGAAGTCAGTGTCGGGGTGATGCCAACTGTCCGGGCTGCGTCCATGCTGTTTTTGGTCAGTGCTAGAGGTTGATCCATGGTCAAGCTTGGGATTGAGGCATACATGTGGTTGGCATGAAGGCTCATTGTGGGGGCAGCAGCTCTCTCTATGGGGCTGCGACTCCTCTCTCGGTGCTCCTTCCGGTAGTCTCCGTTGGCAGTCTTGTTTCTAAGGCACCAAAGAAAAAAGGGCAAAGACCTTAGCGTTCTCCCAAGCTCTGCTGAGATATGCAACATCACATGCCTGCATGGAACACGAGGCAATGCACTGTGCTTGGTCTGTGAGGGGGTAGAATCCCTCAATGAGGTACCCCTGGTCTGTGCAGCCTCCTCCCTGCAAAGAGAAGCCAGTCACCTACAGATGCAGGTTCTGGCAACCAGCACTTTTCTTCAGCCTAGGATTTCTCATCTAGAGCCACCGAGTTAAAGTAACAACATTTTTAAGATCCTCATTTAACATAGTATTAGTTCCACTCCATCTCCTAATGCTGCAATATTCTCTAGGCATTGCTGAAGCCCAGGGAAAGTTTATTTTCCTGAAAAGATGTGGTTGATATCAGCAAAAATGCAGGGAGTGGAGGCAAGAAGCAAAATTTTCAGAGCAGAAAATGAAGGAAAAGCAAACTACACTGCACTTATCACAGAATTATTTAATTACAATCATTCTTTCATTCAAGTCATTTCAAGCTACTCCTGGACAGTGAATCCCAGTAGATGTGCTTAATTATCTTATCATTCACTGCTATGAAAATAATGCTGTGTTTGTATTTATGTATGAGAGATTTCAGTTTCCACACAGCAATATAATTGCCATTAAAGGCAAACCAGTGACTCAAGGGAATCACTCACTCATCACCCAGGTAAGTGTGGGTATCACTGGCAGTCTGGAGCACACCAGTGCTGTGAGAGTTCACACCCTGCACTGACTGGTGCCTCACTGTGAAACAGCAAACTAATTTGTCCTTCCCATAGGAAAGCACCAGTGGAGAAAGCTGGCTCTGTGGAAAACAGCATCCTGTCTTCAGAAGATTCCTCAAGTCCCAGTGAAGTGTCCTACGTGTCCTGTGCATAAGTCGGTAAAATCCAAGGTGGTTTCCCCCCATTTTTTAAAGCATATCATACCAAATTAATATGCAGGAGCAATCTTAAAAAATACTCTGAAGAATATCAGGGAGAGACAGAAAAGGAATCAACATTCAATACTGCAGTAAGTTGCAAGTCCAAAAAGCTACTGCCTATTCCAATGGCTGAGAAACTGTCCCCAAAAGAAAGGCTAAGGGGAAAAATGCCCTGCCAGTGGAAGGAAGTAAGAAACCCCACAGCTTATCCACAAAATGTTATAGAGAAAAAAACTTCCAAGGTTCATATAAACCAAAAGATTCCTTAGATTATCTAATGGTTACTTGTTGGTTTATGCTAGTTCAAAACAGACAGTAAGATTACTCTGCCTTGAAGTTGAATTTAAAATCAAACCAGTACCAGTGTTCACACACACCTTCCCCTCCCCCCCCAACTCGCCCACTGCTCACATACACAAGGGCACAGGTTGCCTGCTGTGGCCATGGTGTGGCCATGCCACCTCTCACTGCCACAGCTGCCTCAGGGAGATCCTACACTACCACTATGGTGTGAGGATGCTCCGTGGTGATCCTGCCCTGGGAGCCAGGGGTGCTCACAGCAGTTGCTTTGTGTCTTTGGAGTGTCTTTGCAGTGTCTTTGGAGACCGTGTAAGCTTTTAGCCTCAACAGCATCCTATAGCCATGGATTCCACAGTTCAAACTACTTATTTTGTTAAGTATCTTTTCTTCATAGGCTCTTTTGGCTTCTTTCTAACCCAAAATCTAATGGCTCGGTCTGCTCTTGCCCTAATTCTTGTATTAGGAGAGAGACAAAGCCATTGCTCCTTGCTTATCTCCATGCCACTCCCTTGTCCATCTCTGTTCAACCTTTTCTCTCCAGGGTACTACTATCTTCAAATAAAACCTATTCCGGTACTTTTGTCATCTTTGTGGCCCCTCTCAGGTAAGACCTTGAGATGAGGGTCCAGATTTCTGCTGTGCGGAGGAACAGGACCTTTGCTGAATTACTCACAATTCTTCAGCTTGTTGAAGAGTCACTTGGCTGTGCAGAAATCTGCTCCTGCTGCCTGAGTCGAAACTTGACCCATTTACTGTGGTAGAGGTTAGGGTTAATATGATGCCAGGCAACCAGTGACTTGAGAACCTCAGGACACTGCCGACTTTGTGTGCCAAATTCCCCTGGCTCGCTTAGGAGGGAACAGCCAACAGCATAACAGTACAATTTGTAACCCTTTGCAACCTCCTGCTCTGCCCCTCCCCCTATCACTTGTCCCTTTTAACTAATTACAAATTAGTAGTCGCAGATTATCAGAATCAACCATAAAATCTAACCTTGAAGGTTTCACAGGTGGTGCTCAAGATGGTCTCTGGACATGGTGTGTTTCCCCAACCCATCTACAGGCAGGATTTAGACAGCATAAAGCAGCTCCCAAAGCAGCAGGAAACACTCCCAGCACTGCTCTCCAGCCTTGGGCCTGTTTCAATTCTCACCACTGCTCTGCAGGATCAGCACTCAGCAGCAAAGTTTAGAATTGCAGTGCTCTGAGCTAATGACTGATGCAAATGAGAGTTAATGGCAGCACAACAGACTATATTTAACGTACAATAGCCTCTGCTTGAATTACAGTACGGAAACAGCTCCTGGACACAACCAAACCATCCTGCCCCACCCCTGAGGAAGCAAGCAGAGCCTCACAAATAGCAGTGCCTTTGCAAAGGGCTTGTGTGCCCAGACAGCAGCCACTAGATATCCTGGGAAACAGCCACACCAAAAGCCATGGCTAAAATCACTGCTGAAGTGCTGAAGGCAACGCTCGTCCTTCCTGCTACAGTGCAGTACATTCGGTGGCTGCAAGCCAAATTCTTACTATTCAACCAAATATTATCTGGTCTACTACAATTTAAATTACCATTTGGAGGCTGCAAAACCACCTGCAGCTCCAGGAGACTCCTACTTTTCACTGCCTCAAAGACAAAACTGATCTCTGTTCAGAATGATGCTGTTTTGTTTTAATAAGCACAAGCTGATTTTCAAAGGGAAAAAATTGTTTCCTCCACCAAAATTACTTGTAAAAGGAAACAAGAAATGTAGCTACATCAGTTGTTTGGGGGTTTTGTCTTAGAACTCGCTTTTCAACAACTCAGTATTGCATTTCCTGAGGGGTTGGGGCTGTCAAGTGACCACTGATAAACAAATCTACAGAAATTCCCAAGCAAAACGAATTTTCCATTTTACACACAGCACCTATTTCACTCATCCCCATGTTAAACAAAACATCACATCCCTAATACTGGTGAACTGGTAGTTTTGCTGCCCAAAAATACCCCCAAACCAACAAAACCCCAAACAAAACTCCAACCCCTAACAAAACCCAAAACACAGAAAAAAAACAACAAAACTTTCAGCAAAGATTTTTGGAAGAAGGGACCAAGAAACTGGGCAATGGGATCAGCCTGTTGCCAGGAACACAGCACAGCAGACACTTCCCTAAAGACACCTCAGAGTATCCAGTTATCTCAGCAATCTCAGCAGACCACACCCCAGCCCTTTCTGTGGGCAAATAATTCCCTCTTCCTAAATTAGAGCAACTCCTCTTCCGGGCAGGGAACTGTTTATATTCCGCTCCTCAAAATTCCTCAATTCATCCACCTTCAACTATACAGTCTTGGCAAAAAATGAAAAATACCTGCAGCTTCTACTTCCACATCAGATCTCATTTTTTTCTGAGCCCAGCTGGCAATGTTCCAGCACTGTGTAGGACTGTAACATGAGAGCTTTGCCCTCATGAAAATACACCAGCACTTGTGAGTCCCTGTGATTGAAATATAAATAGCAAATCCTACAGATATCTGACTCCACTTGGGAGACAATTGTACATAAATTATTTACAGAGTATTCATCAATTTCACCTTATTAAGTAATTTTCATTTAAAATTCACTTAAAATAATTTTCTGTCAGAAATGGAAAAATTGCTATATTGTTTTATTCATATTATTTTATATTGCTATTATTGTTATAATAATAATGATTAATTCCTTTTTTCACTATTAGACACTTTGCCTGAAGGGGCAATCAAAACTCCATGTGTGTGAAGAGAAGCATATTTCACTGAAGTCCATGAGCTTAAACATTCCACATGTACTGAACAAGGACAGAGCTGCATCTCTTAGGTCAAACACAGGGGTGGAAAACTACAAGGAAGGAAACTTAAAAATATATACTACAAGTAAATCCAGCTGTCCAAACAGCTTTACCATCTCTCCACTCCACTTTGCCTTAGAAATCAGCATATGCAAGCCCGGACTCCATCTGTAGTGAGGCAGATGCCAGTGCAACTCCATGGGCTTAAAACCCAGCAATTCCCACGGGTGGGAACAGAGCAGGCACCAGGCAGTGGGAGCTGTTATATCAGCCATACCCACCACCCTTACTCCCTGCTAACACAGATATTCCAGCTATTTGTGGGGTTATTTCAGCAAAATTACACACAATTCCAACCTTAAATGCATTTCTGCGACACTTGAAAAACAGACATTGTTTTCCATGTTGCTTCCCAATGAATCATAGCCCGGGCCCCAGCTCTCACCAGGCATCATGTGCTCGGGTGGATGTCATACCAAAACCACACACATCCTGAGTGCTGCTGGACGCTGCTGCAGCCTGGTGCTAGAGAACGTTTGCTAATGGAAAGCAATGTCCTAAGTCCTGCTCAGGACCAGCTCAAGGGGAGCAAAATGCATTGTTCTTAGCCGTTTGTTGTTGCAGAACCTTTAACCGAAGCTGCTCTGCTTACTGGCACAGCTTGGCAGTAATTCACACTCATCCTACAGGAACAGGCTAACTCTGCCAGCTGCTTAAGGAAAAGGGAAAAAAGAGGCCCACTGAAGGGGACAGTTTTGCTTGCACTCACTTCCAGCCCGCAGATCCTTCAGGAACAGATGCCAAAAGCATTACTGTACCTCCGAGGGAAGAAATCACAGACGTTTCACACTCCCTTTGGCAGAACTGGAGCTCTGACTTGAAATGGTTGTACAGAGTGTGTTTCACTTGCACAAAGAACAAGTATCCTCTTGCAGTGCTTTTAATGA